TTCCTTTTTTCTTTGTCCAACCCCCCCCCCCCCCTTTTCTCTTCTTCTCTATGAAATTCCATGATGAAAAATTTTGCTATCTGACTTTGAGTTTCAATGTTAACTTTGTAACTAAATTGTCTTGGTGTCCATAGTTGTTTTTACATGTGTTTTGATTTATCATGAAATATGGGATGCTTCATGCCCACTTATTCGCGTCAACCTTCTGTAGGCAATGTAGACATTTGTTAGTGTAGTAAGTTCCTTCGTACTTGTCTGTCTCCTCCACGCAGATTTTCTATATAGAGTTTTTTTTGGAAACCGTTTGAGGGAAATCTAGATCTTGGATGCCATTTTTTTATTTTTTTTTGAACTGGGGAAGCCAATTGAATATGGCATAATTGATAATCAGGGGAAGTGATATGATGACTTATGGGTTTTGTGTTCATCATATAGGACAAACACATCATTCTTAATCATCTTCTTCAGTTCTATTTATCATTTTTCATTAAGTAGAAATTTTTTGTTGATTTGTCATGGCCTCTTCTACAGATGAAGTAGCATTGTTTTTTAAAACATTCTTGTTATCATAATACAAATTTCAGTCCATACTCACTATATTTTCCTTCTGCAGCTGATGAAGTACTTATTATCAAGAGCGTGACTCACAGAGACTTCAATGCAATGATAAAGGTGAGTCTTACCTCGTTGATGGACAGTGTAGTTATTATTATCATTACCTTTGTGATATAATTAGAAGAATATTTGAGATGAGTTTGGCCAGAGTGTTCACATACCTGAAGAAAGAGGGCTAGATTTTTAGGATCCGCTGCCATATTATGAGCATGATGTTTTATCTTTTGTGCTCTCAATGATTTTTATCTGTGCTGTTGCTTGCTTGACACACCATTTTTGTTGTTTACAAATTCGATACCTGTTCACTTCCTCTCCCCTACCCTCTCTCTGTTGTTTCTTTTCTGCAGTCCAGTGGACTCTCTCTCTCCCCACTTTTGGGTGTGGGGAGTGTGTGAGTAGTTTCCTGTTGACTGTGCAGGCTCCTTATAATTAGGACCTAGCTGAACACACACTGTATCTCAAACCAAAGAAAAGAAAGGTTCGTTTTCCCACAATTTTAACACATTTTTAACTTATTATAGTAAGGTGCTCATGATGACCAGTGTCGTTTGGAGGGCCTATGCCTCCCAGGCGTGCCAAATTTTTAACTTCAGAAAGCATCACCCAAAGTCTCTCTTAAAAGGCATAACGGGTGTATTGTTATTTGTATATGTTGCAGAGTATTCCAAATCCTGTTTATCTCTTCCAAGGTATCGTACTACGCAGAGGTGCCAAAGGAACTGGAATGAAATCTATAGAACTAGCACTTTCAATGTGTGACATTGTGGACATATATGGTTTCACAGTTGATCCAGGGTATACTGAATGGTCAGTTCAGTTCTCGATTGTTCTTTCTTGTTTTCTGGACGTTCTATATGTTCTTGATATTTGTACTGAACTTGAAGTATTGCACATAAGTCATAACTTTGGTGCTCTCCTAATTTTTCTGTGTTTCATCTTCTTATGGAGCTTGTTAATTAGTAATTTACTCATACCAAAATGAAAAAAGGCTCTTTCTAGCTTTCATCTCTCAATCGTCCGCTGGGATTGCTAATTGCTGGCCTTGGTGTTCGTGCAGGACACGATATTTTTCTCCACCAAGGAAAGGGCATAATCCGCTGCAAGGAAGGGCATACTACCAACTCCTGGAATGCCTCGGTGTAAAAATATTTTCCCCTTTTGAGAAAAAGATTTTGTTCCCGTTCAGATACATGTTCATGTTTAATTGGTAGTCCAAAACTTTCAGGGTATTAGGATCCATTCTCCCATGGGAGCAGGAAGATTGTATTTTTGATATGTACATACACATTCTGTCATTCAGATACAGGGTTCATGTTTAATTTGTAGTCTGTAACTTTCAGGTTATTAGGATCCATTCTCCCATGAGAGCAGAAAGGAAGCAAGACTGGTCAGATGTGCCAAGCCGAGAAATGATAAGAAGAGCTCATGCAGCTGCCCTGCACTTGAAGAGGAGTCAAGCTGGCCAAGATGGTCGGTTGGGACAATTTGGAAGCTGTAAAATTTGGGGCAATGTGGGTCCCCACAGCAGTGGGCCTATCTCTGGATCTCCAGACATGAGTGGTATCAGGAAGTACTCAAATTACAGCAAATGGGAAGTCATGCCTTTTGTTAGCTTAAGAAAGGAGGCACAGGATCATTATGTTCAGATGGAAGGTGTTTCTCTGTACAAAATGGATGGCAATAAATTGGATGATCTGGTATGCATGAGACATTCCTCAAAATCCGAGGTGTAACCCAAATTCTGTGTTGGTGTCTTTTTGTATTCCCGTGATGATTGGTTGAGAGCAGAACCAGCCGGGTATATTCATTCTATATGGAATTTACCATGAGATAGGTTTCCCAGGCGGGGATTCTCTGAATTGGCCTTGCCACTGCATTCGTGTCACTTCAAACAATGGTGCCATGTGGTCCTGGTATGTTTAAGTGGCATCTTTAGACTCAACCTGCATAGGAGAAAAGAAACTTGCTGTAACTCACCAGATACGTGTTGTTGGATAGGATTCAGTGTGGGTTATGGAAAGATGAGGCCTTGGGAAATTCAGAAATTGCTGTTCTGGTACCATGTATTGGATTTTGTTAATTTGGAATGTTTATATTTAAAATCAATGCTATGGTGAGCAGTCAAGATTGATTGTTCTTTGCAAACATGTACAGGCTGGTGATAGATAGTTTCAGGTCGAATAGTCATTGATCTTTTGGAGTGAGGTATGTACACATTAACCGTCTTTAGAATATAGAGACTACTTTCTTGCCCTTTTTTTCGTCATTTGTCTCGACTGTGATATCTCGAGTATACTGACCCAAAAACACATAAGGGCTCAAAATTAGTGTATAAGTATTGGATTGCCAGGGATTAGATTCCATAAGTTAAGAAATGCGCTAACCATAATACTGTTTTTCAGTGTGTTGCTCGGAGAGGCTTGTGATGTTCTTGGAGGAGAATTCTGCAAGCGCCCTTATCAAAAGGAAGTTTACTAGAGGAAAACCATGTCCATAAACAAAATCCTCTTCCTCTTTGATTATTATTTTCTGTGTATGGTTTATATTTTGGTGGCTAATTATTTATATAGCTTGGTGCAGAAGTTTGGACTTAAAAGGAAATGTGAAAGTCAGGCATCTAAATGAAGAAACTTTTGGTTCTAGACAAGCGATAATTGGGAAACCACCCCGGCACTCTGGTCAAACACAAGCTTCATTTATACACAGATCTAGGAGTTTGATTCATATTAGGTACTATACTGCAATGAATAGTTGTTAATGAAAAAGTTGTATAAAAAAGCCATTGCACAATCCTGATGTAGTAGATAAGAGTTACACATNGCATAATCCGCTGCAAGGAAGGGCATACTACCAACTCCTGGAATGCCTCGGTGTAAAAATATTTTCCCCTTTTGAGAAAAAGATTTTGTTCCCGTTCAGATACATGTTCATGTTTAANATGCAACCTAAGAGTGCATAATGGAACATTAAGCTCTTTGTCATATGGAAGTAATATGCAGAAAGGGCAGCTGATCAATCGTCTAAACCCGATTAGTAACACTGGTGAAATGACACAATTGGAATCAATACTAAAAGTAATGAATTGGGATCAACGAATTCATATTGCCTNAATTGGTAGTCCAAAACTTTCAGGGTATTAGGATCCATTCTCCCATGGGAGCAGGAAGATTGTATTTTTGATATGTACATACACATTCTGTCATTCAGATACAGGGTTCATGTTTAATTTGTAGTCTGTAACTTTCAGGTTATTAGGATCCATTCTCCCATGAGAGCAGAAAGGAAGCAAGACTGGTCAGATGTGCCAAGCCGAGAAATGATAAGAAGAGCTCATGCAGCTGCCCTGCACTTGAAGAGGAGTCAAGCTGGCCAAGATGGTCGGTTGGGACAATTTGGAAGCTGTAAAATTTGGGGCAATGTGGGTCCCCACAGCAGTGGGCCTATCTCTGGATCTCCAGACATGAGTGGTATCAGGAAGTACTCAAATTACAGCAAATGGGAAGTCATGCCTTTTGTTAGCTTAAGAAAGGAGGCACAGGATCATTATGTTCAGATGGAAGGTGTTTCTCTGTACAAAATGGATGGCAATAAATTGGATGATCTGGTATGCATGAGACATTCCTCAAAATCCGAGGTGTAACCCAAATTCTGTGTTGGTGTCTTTTTGTATTCCCGTGATGATTGGTTGAGAGCAGAACCAGCCGGGTATATTCATTCTATATGGAATTTACCATGAGATAGGTTTCCCAGGCGGGGATTCTCTGAATTGGCCTTGCCACTGCATTCGTGTCACTTCAAACAATGGTGCCATGTGGTCCTGGTATGTTTAAGTGGCATCTTTAGACTCAACCTGCATAGGAGAAAAGAAACTTGCTGTAACTCACCAGATGCGTGTTGTTGGATAGGATTCAGTGTGGGTTATGGAAAGATGAGGCCTTGGGAAATTCAGAAATTGCTGTTCTGGTACCATGTATTGGATTTTGTTAATTTGGAATGTTTATATTTAAAATCAATGCTATGGTGAGCAGTCAAGATTGATTGTTCTTTGCAAACATGTACAGGCTGGTGATAGATAGTTTCAGGTCGAATAGTCATTGATCTTTTGGAGTGAGGTATGTACACATTAACCGTCTTTAGAATATAGAGACTACTTTCTTGCCCTTGTTTTCGTCATTTGTCTCGACTGTGATATCTCGAGTATACTGACCCAAAAACACGTAAGGGCTCAAAATTAGTGTATAAGTATTGGATTGCCAGGGATTAGATTCCATAAGTTAAGAAATGCGCTAACCATAATACTGTTTTTCAGTGTGTTGCTCGGAGAGGCTTGTGATGTTCTTGGAGGAGAATTCTGCAAGCGCCCTTATCAAAAGGAAGTTTACTAGAGGAAAACCATGTCCATAAACAAAATCCTCTTCCTCTTTGATTATTATTTTCTGTGTATGGTTTATATTTTGGTGGCTAATTATTTATATAGCTTGGTGCAGAAGTTTGGACTTAAAAGGAAATGTGAAAGTCAGGCATCTAAATGAAGAAACTTTTGGTTCTAGACAAGCGATAATTGGGAAACCACCCCGGCACTCTGGTCAAACACAAGCTTCATTTATACACAGATCTAGGAGTTTGATTCATATTAGGTACTATACTGCAATGAATAGTTGTTAATGAAAAAGTTGTATAAAAAAGCCATTGCACAAATCTGATGTAGTAGATAGTAACTTCACAGCTTCGGACGTTAATTAATCCTATGATACACAACTCATCAAGGAATGCCCCATGTTCTATGCAACCTAAGAGTGCATAATGGAACATTAAGCTCTTTGTCATATGGAAGTAATATGCAGAAAGGGCAGCTGATCAATCGTCTAAACCCGATTAGTAACACTGGTGAAATAACACAATTGGAATCAATACTAAAAGTAATGAATTGGGATCAACGAATTCATATTGCCTTGGAGCCACAGGAAACTAATCTATTGAGCCGTCCATGGATACTAGCACTGTGGGAATTGAAGATAAAAAATGTAATGAGTCGTCAGTTTTTCAACAGTCGATGACACCAAAAATTCCAACTTAACTCTCTCTACGTGAATATGTGTGCCCTTTTAACATTTATGCAATGCAATAAAAACTCAAAAGACATCCAGCCAAGCACTGCACTATAAATCAAAAGTCTCTTTCTTGATTCTTTTTCTAAGAAAGAAAGTTTTGGTGAACCTCAGAAACAAAATAGTGGTCCACAACCAACCTTAGAGCTCATCAACATTTTTTTTTGGTAGCAAAAACAGCTCATCGACTTAGAATCCACTAAGATTCATGAAACAAATACGTAAAACACTATAACAAATAAGAAAGAAACACCCTTAATTTGAGATTTCCTAACAATCCACTTAGTGAAACTTCTATTTCGTATGCCAAGAGGAGTGATCCACTAAAGAGAGGATTAATCTCCGATAATGGTTCAAATTGCACCAATAATCAATCCATTTTCTTCCATGCATACATATTCCCAGGAAAGGATTCAAGAATCCCTGAACCAAAATCAAGGAACCATGGAATACAGAATCACAAATCCTTCATAATTTTGTCATTATCCAATTGTTGTTGAATGGGCCCATTTAACGATGTTAAAGTCCTCACTACAGGCAGTTCAGTGGTTAACCTACGCCATTGAACGCCAAAATACAAGTATGTCAAAGCTTGCAAGCTAAAGGAGAATTATTCCATTTCNACCATGGAATACAGAATCACAAATCCTTCATAATTTTGTCATTATCCAATTGTTGTTGAATGGGCCCATTTAACGATGTTAAAGTCCTCACTACAGGCAGTTCAGTGGTTAACCTAAGCCATTGAACGCCAAAATACAAGTATGTCAAAGCTTGCAAGCTAAAGGAGAATTATTCCATTTCACGTGCGATTTAGGCTCTTGGTTGTACCGAATTATTCCATTTCACATGTGCCAAACCACACCATACACACTAATGCCATATATCCAACTCCCCGAAGAGTGCAGGGTTTTCAAACTCCTACAGAAACTCAGAAACAAACAATATAGGGCACCACCTAAAAGACTTTACCATTAAAGCCTAATTGATTCTTTCCTCTTGAGAAAAGAAGAAGAAATAAAGGGAACCCCCCGGGGGGGAGAGAGAGAANAAAGCCTAATTGATTCTTTCCTCTTGAGAAAAGAAGAAGAAATAAAGGGAACCCCCCCGGGGGAGAGAGAGAAAGNTTTACCATTAAAGCCTAATTGATTCTTTCCTCTTGAGAAAAGAAGAAGAAATAAAGGGAACCCCCCGGGGGGGAGAGAGAGAAAGAGAGTTAGTTTTTTGCCATTTATAAAAGACGTACCCAGTGCACGAAGTTCCCACCATTGCGAGGTCTAAGGAGGCTTAGATGTACGCAATATTACTTTTGCATGCAGAGAGGTGGTTTATCAATACCTATAATTCCCAGTCTCTACACCATAGAAGCTTAATCTTTCCTGAATCCGTATCTCTAAGCATTTCAGCGTTATTAAAGACCAAACTTGAGGTAGGCAATAGAGAGAGAGACTTATCTTTCTCTCTCCCTTTGAGACAAAGATGGCAACATTGAAATTCTGCTAAATCCTTCGTCGGAGATGCAAGAAACACCACAACCACCTTCACTTTTTGATGTCAATGTACTACAACCTCCTATAGCATCTAGTATAACACCAGTCCTCAGTGAACTAAAAGTTAATCCTCTGCTTTCACTGATTACATTTTCTGCTGAAGCAATGAAAGCAACTATTGCTATGTGGAATAATTCATTTGCTTCCTAATATTTTGCTCACAGAATTCATTCTGTAAATTTCATACCATTTGATAACAGTGAAACCATCAATTTCGCTTACAATTTCATTCTAGTCTGATTTGCAAAACATTCAATCAAATCTGCGGATGGCCGAAATCAAAAAATATATAGCATCTTTTTTTTTTTAGCCAGTGCATTATCTAACTGCATCCACAGAAGCAATTTTTTGCACGTAATGGTCAAAAGCAACAACAATAATGCAATCAAACATATGGAGAATCGCCTAAATACAGATCTTTCGCATAACAAATTCAAAAACTCATAATATTCCATTACAACTCAAAAACAACAAAATTTAATGTGTTATATTCGAAAACAAGGACAGATTACTTCTTACTCTTAAGCAAATCATCAGGAACAACCTTGAGCTGCTTCCTCTCTTTAGACTTGGCAATCTTCTTAAGAGTCTTGGGATTAGTGATCTTCTGAAGCTTAGTCCCAGACCTCAGAATATTTTCCTGCTTCCTCTTCTCCCTCTCTTCTCTCTTCTTCCTCTTCTCAATTTTGTTCTGCCTAATTTCTTCCTTCAGCTCAGTCATCCTCTCCTTATACGCCTTCTTTATCTCCTTCTCCTTCATTCTTTGCTCGAAAGTCGTAGGCTTTCGGCTCACGTTCACGGCTGAGGCTCGGTGGTTGCGAGGATGCTTCCACTTCCGGCCAGAGACTTTTCCGGCAATCACGCCGTCGTATGTGGGCTTTCCGAAAACGGGCTTGCTGGGATCATCAGAGGCAGGCACGGCTTGTCTCTTCGATGGAGGTGGGCTTGTCCCTTCGATGGCGTCGACGTCCATGGAGGAGTTACCATCTTGTGTTGATTGGTTGAGTTGTTTTTCAGCTTCTTCGGATCTCTTTCGCTTGTATGTCTTCCCGCCGAACCCTTCATCTAGACACCTGAAGTCAATCGTACACGCCATCCGTTCGGGAAGAGAGGACCGAGGGCTAGGATTTCTTGCTCTTAGTAAACCCTAATGTTAGTTAGGGTTTCCTTTGTGCCAGTGGTCGAAACGGAGAAATCTTATAGTGGGGAAACTTCATTTTAATCCCCGGTAGTTTACCCTAATTGCACATAAGCTCCTTGAGTTCTCAAAATAGCACATAATCCTCTCTCATAGTTGTTGCACTAAAAATAACAATAAACTCTGTTAACGACAATAATATAATGATCTTCCTACCCATCACTTTATTTTTAACTGAAAATTAAAATCAACCACAAAAATAATTCTTTTTTTTTTCGGTCCAANATCACTTTATTTTTAACTGAAAATTAAAATCAACCACAAAAATAATTCTTTTTTTTTCGGTCCAAAAACAAAAATAATTAAAACAAAAATAATTCAAACAACTCCAAAATGCATCAACATCGACACCTAGTCATTCCCAACTCTGACACTTGTTGCACCATCGCTATTATCATAGTGATAAAGTTATACTCGAATTTCTATTTTGTGATAGTATTGAGATCCAATTTTTTCTTAGGGAATCATGCTCTCAGAAAAAAGTAGTGATAATTGTTTCTCAATAAAATTCTTTTTCGTGGGAGATTTCTTTGAAAATAATGTGATTTCAAAATAAAAATTTAACTAGATTCAGAATCTCAACCCAACACGTAAGTATACTCACAGAACCAATATATCAAACAANAAATAATGTGATTTCAAAATAAAAATTTAACTAGATTCAGAATCTCAACCCAACACGGAGGTATACTCACAGAACCAATATATCAAACAGGTAATGAGCAAGAATCAACCACAACAAACACATGAGATTACATATCAAAAGACCCAACATTTTACTTTTCAACAAGCTTAAAAGATTCTGATTAGGGGTCCACTTACAAAAATGTACCAAAACTCTCTTAAATTACTGCAAACCCTAGTAATGTGTATATAAAGTTATACACNTACATATCAAAAGACCCAACATTTTACTTTTCAACAAGCTTAAAAGATTCTGATTAGAGGTCCACTTACAAAAATGTACCAAAACTCTCTTAAATTATTGCAAACCCTAGTAATGTGTATATAAAGTTATACACGACAGTTACAACCCAACTGCATAGACAATGTTAGCACTAATTAGTTTGGCCAACTCAGTCATGTATTTGACATCCTCAACTGAACTGCTAAGATTTCAGACACCAATTAAATTTGTCCTTGTTCTAAACGATTTTTGCATTTTTTACCTTAGGATGTGTATGCTTAATGAGGTTACATGTTGTTTTTGAGTTTCCATTTTCATTCAGGTTGAGAGACCAAACGATCCTGTATTCAAAGGCTCAACAAAAGACGTCACTACATACCTCGGTCTTGGACGAACTTTAGTGTTGAGGTTCATAGACCGGAAATTCAACCCAACTTAAGCATTATTTTATTCATGGGAATGGGGGCCAAGGACACGACTGGTTCTTGCAAGAGAGTTTCTTCCTCGCAGTGNCTTAGGATGTGTATGCTTAATGAGGTTACATGTTGTTTTTGAGTTTCCATTTTCATTTAGGTTGAGAGACCAAACGATCCTGTATTCAAAGGCTCAACAAAAGACGTCACTACATACCTCGGTTTTGGACGAACTTTAGTGTTGAGGTTCATAGACCGGAAATTCAACCCAACTTAAGCATTATTTTATTCATGGGAATGGGGGCCAAGGACACGACTGGTTCTTGCAAGAGAGTTTCTTCCTCGCAGTGATCTACAAGTCCTAGAACTACGGACAGATTTTGAACTAGAAAGGGGTATTGGGTCTACAAGTCTTACTCAACGATTGTGGGAAGTTTGGCATAGCCCCCATAATTTGCTGAACATGGCTGGAGCAGTTGTACTTTGCAACCGCCATCTGTCTCGGCTTTGGGTTGTATATTGATCATGCATATTTAGGTTTAACTTCCATAAGACACTTTGGGGCGGCATAAACAATAAATTCACTTGATTTTTATGCTTACAAAATCAAGTAAAAATTCATACAAAACTTAATTAGAGAAAACAAGAAGATATCTTTTTTATACTATACTAGTTAAGTGAATTTATCATATTTGAACTAAGTTAAACTTTAGAGGGACAATTTAAGCGAATTAATCCAAGTCTAACCCAAAATCAGTTCGAATTGACTAATATGAATTCAACCCGAGTTTTAAGAAAGTAATTCGGACAACACTCGAATTGAGTAGATCAGGTTGAATTAGAGTTAAAATTTTTGTACCTCGATTTAGACCTAGGTTGACCGCCTAATGCATCCGAATTGCACCCCTATTTGGCATTATGTTGACCGGAATGCCACCCCAAAGTGCGAAATGTTGAAATCATGAGCAGCAAGGCCAAATACTAGATCAGTTTTTTTTTTTTTTCTGAACGGAGAATTAGTAGATCAGTTGGAGTGGAGTCATTTGTTTGTCTTAGCATTAGCTATAAAATTCAAAATAAAAACAGAATGTGAAGCACCCGAATATGCCAAAACAAAATTATCCATTCAATGAAGGAAGCCGAAGCATTACCCCCATTGCTAAAAATCCATCACTGGTTTATTTACTGTTTTAGTGCAAGAAATCCTCTATTCCGTATATTTATTTAGTGATGATAGCTCATCCAAACTCTAAAAAGGTTACTCTTAACGGCTTTACTTGTTTGCTAGACTAGACGACGGCTACATCACCCATCCACCCCAAGTTGAAGAAATAGCAAACATTTTCCATTAAGCTCATAAGCTAAGCTAGCTAACAGTCTCGCTAAACTTCTTTCCTCCCTGTTTTTCTTTCTACCCTTTTAATATTAACTCAAATGAAATCAGAAGATATACCAATAATATGAAATCAAAAACATGGACAGATAAATTGATGANCTGTTTTTCTTTCTACCCTTTTAATATTAACTCAAATGAAATCAGAAGATATACCAACAATATGAAATCAAAAACATGGACAGAGAAATTGATGGTTCATCACCCAAAAGGACCAAAAGACACATAGAAAGGATAAACTGGACTTCTCCAAGAACATTACCGGCTTAGGAAACTCAAGAAATTGAGCAACATAGTAGAACAAGATCATGTCGACTATTCTTGCAAAAAATTCATGTAGATTACTCTTGCAAAAAATTCATGTAGATTACTCTTGCAAAAAAATTCAACAAGGCAGGCCCAGCCAACAGCACCAAGGAAACCTACTAGAGTCACTGAGGGACAAATTCAAAAACAATAATGTCCTTGAAGTGAAAGTCTACATGATCTTGTTATAAAGCATTAATACAGTATCATTATCTTCTAAAGTCATTAAAATTTCATATTAGATGAAGAACTATAGAAGTACAGTTGAATTGCTAATAGGAATGGAAATAAATGCTCGCCCAGATTTGGATGCAATGGAATATAAATTTAATTGAGACGACGGTAATCCTTGAGAAAGAGAACTTGAAAGGAAAGCATGTCAACATCAACTTTGCAATGCTGCAACAGACCCATTTTCAGATCTATATTCCCAGACTAGTTCCGAGAGATCACTCTCAAAAAAAGCAGAGTGAAGAGCCCTGACACATTGTTCTGCTTCGCTGTCGTTTACTATCAATGAGATGTTGACCTGGTTCGCAGTTGGGAAAAAAGTAAAGAGTTATTATTCGGAAATGAGAAAATACTAAGCCTGAGCTCCTGAATACTTGAACAAATGACCCAATACTAAATGGGTTTAGTTATACATGGTAAAAACAACAAAACAATTCTTTACTCTGATATTTTCTAATACATATCAAATCAAAAGATCCTTTAGTGTATATATATGCACACTTGTGCATGCACTTTCCTGCTATATATTTGGCTGTACTGATGAAACAAAAATTAGCAAATGGTCATTTCTAGATTACCTTAGATGCACCTTGGGAGATCATCTGGACATTGACTCCATTGGAGCGGAAGACATGAAAGACCTGCCACAAACCAAAGAACCAAGAATAAATGGTAGTAGTCGTAAAGAAAAGGGGCAGCTGGATGGTGCTAAAACCTGCAGAGGTGTGACTCTTCAATGTAGCCACATGCTACCATTATCGTAACTGTTTAAAACAGAACTCGTGAATTCAGACGATCACCGAGAGTGATCTAAATCAATGTGCAAGAATGATTCTCTATGCCTATACAGAATTGTACACGTAGAGCATTATAGTAGGCAGCAAAAAGGCTGCAGTACAAATGAGTGCAGCCTACTCTTTCTTTTTTTATTGAACTATCTCACAAAAGGGGAATGACAGAGGTCTTCACAGCAGAATTTTACGAAATCATCAAGAAAATGAACTAAAGACTGACAAAAATAAAAAATGGAAAACCATCAAGAGAAACAAGGAGAAATCATACATCAAGAAAATTTCATCCAAGCACACTCTGTTACATATAGAACCAGGCAACAAAAAACACTTCCTTATGGAAACATAAGAGGACACTGAGGGACCAAAATATGATACAAACAGTCTCGAGGTATATCAACCAAGAAACAAAAACTAATCAAAAAGACATAATCAGCAGTCTTTTGGGATGATATACAAGTTAGTGCTGTACCTTCTCTAATATCAGTGAGGACCTCAGAACATTTCCAATCAGAGAAATGATTGATCTGTGCTGTAGGAGATTCACAACTGCAATTTTCTCAAGTTCTTCGACAACATGATCAAGTTCCTGCTCAAGTAAGTACCAAATGAGGTTAGAACTNTTAAGGCTCTATTCAACAAACTAGCCATTGCACAATGAGAACTGGTCAGCTTCAACTGTAATAGACAGATGAATTAGAGAGCATGACAGGAAATATTAAGGATGCAAACTGATGACCAAGTTGACTATGCCAACTTGGGTTTATTACTGTAGTTTAACTCTCTCAAAGAAAAAAAGAAATGTAATATAGCTTTCGTCCAATAGAAAAAGAAAACAAGTACAAAATCCNCAAGAAACAAAAACTAATCAAAAAGACATAATCAGCAGTCTTTTGGGATGATATACAAGTTAGTGCTGTACCTTCTCTAATATCAGTGAGGACCTCAGAACATTTCCAATCAGAGAAATGATTGATCTGTGCTGTAGGAGATTCACAACTGCAATTTTCTCAAGTTCTTCGAGAACATGATCAAGTTCCTGCTCAAGTAAGTACCAAATGAGGTTAGAACTTACCAGTTGAAAATGGAAAGACAAAAACTAAGTGAAAATTCCCATATACACAAGAATAGAAAAGGAGTTCAAGCAAATGTGTAAGCTAGTTTTGAATAATTGAAGCCAAAGTCATGTCGTAATGGAGAACTTAAAAGTGATCAGTGTCATGACCATAGTTGTCAAATCGCGTATCGGAAGACGTATCGTTTTTTAAAAATAGTGTATCGTATCGTATATCGTAAGATATGCACAATTTTAATTTTTAAATAATTATTAATAAAATATATATATATGTATGCGTGTGTATATACACACACACACACACATATATATATATATATACCTTTGTAAAAAAATCATAGACTCATAATAACGTAGCATTTCATTAATATTCCACTAATTATTTAAGTTTCTAATATAGTTCAGTGATATCAGAATACAAAAACCTCTAATTCAAACTATTAACACCAACTGCTTGAACAACCTTAATATTAATCAAGAATTTTGAATTCAATTGATCAACATTAACAATAGATTTTATTTATTTATTTTTTAAACATAACCATTGAAACGACATTGATTCACTGGCTAGTGATTTAAAAANTTGCAACAGCTGGATAAGTTGCTTCCAAAATTTCAGCATTTGTGAATTCATCTGTTGTAATAAAACCGAGATCAAAGGCGTCGTACTGCAGCAAGACACAATGATATAATGAGCATCATCCACAAAAATGAGTATGGTTTTGAAAGAAATTTGGCCGGTAAGAAATGTGACCGAAGTACAGCAGTATTACACATAATCTAAGGTATGCAAAGTCTTTCAAAGCCTTAACAAATTTGAGATAAGACTTCTGTTTACGCATACTTATGCAGGACTAGGTTTGAGATAAGACTTTTGTTTCTGCTTCCTCAACCACTTTCACAAAACAACTCCAAACTTGTTCAAGTCCATCCTTTTTCTTTCATAGTGTACCAAAAGTTATAAAAGAAGAATCAAGGGTTTCTTTTATGTTGACAGCTCAAGGCCCAAGTGCAGCATTTTTAGGTGTAATGTACTCTGAACAATTAAAGTGTGACCAAATCAATTTTAAGAACCAAAAGAGTTTAGGCCTGAAATATGAGCAATTTTTTTTTAAAAAATCCATATGGCTGGACTCAATAACAGCTCTAGAACTTAGTAATCATGGGAATCCGGAGGGCAAAGAAAGAAATTATTATAATGCAGGATCAACTCAACAGAAATTTTAAGTATGCACAACATGTCAATCACAAAACCATGTGATATAAAAATGATGTGATTCAGTACTCATATCTCAGTTTATCTATGATCTTCTATTTTAGTCAACTTATAATTGATCAACTTTTAAGCAAACATTATAACCCTAGACTTATATGCTTTCTGAGCTTGAAATTCAAGGCTCCTGCTGTGTAATATGCATATTCTTCCTATAAATTATCATCCTTTCTTTTACATTTGACAATCAATCATGTTCAGTTTGGAAATTTGATGAGCAAAGATGGGACTTCAATATTTAAAATCACTAGACATGTTTGATATAGCTCAACTGTATATGACCTCGCAGTTGGGAGGATGGCAACAGTCTTTCTTTAATGCAGGATTTTTGTTAGTTTATTAGTTCCTAGAAAAATATAAACTTCCAACACCAACTTTAGACAACTGATGAAGAAATCATACTTGGCGGGCTTTGACATCCATTTTATTCAAATATGCTGCAAAAATTCTGGTGGACATGCACTCCCCAAATGAGACCAAGAAGTCCTTTGTGCGTAGTGTCAATTCTTTCATCATAGCAATTCCCTTAAGAAGTTGCTCCAATTTCTCTAGGTGTGCTGCAAAAACATTTTCCACAAGCACAAAAAATGATTACAAAAACACGCATAATAAGTATCATCTGAACACTATGATGACAAAGAACAGAATTTAGGGTCCACAAGGCAATTCCAGGAACATCAAAAGATGAAAATTGGAAATGAAGAGAAAATTAATCTAAATTACAGTAGGATGCCAATATAAAACTTGATAAAAGGACCATTGCATTGTACTTGTGTAAGCTCTACTGATCAAAACCTTCAATGATAAAGGGGCACACAAGGCCGGTATTTATTTATATATTTTTTGGAGGGGGAGGGGAGAAGGGAGTTTGAACTCTTGACCTTAAGAAGACAAAGTCTTCATAAGGCAAGGAGTACCAACTTCTTAAGGTCAAGGTCCAGNTATATATTTTTTGGAGGGGGAGGGGAGAAGGGAGTTTGAACTCTTGACCTTAAGAAGGCAAAGTCTTCATAAGGCAAGGAGTACCAACTTCTTAAGGTCAAGGTCCAGTATATCTCGGTTGCTTGCAGGAAAGTGGCTTCTCGACACTAAAAGTTAGAACCGATTAACATCTTTTGAAGTCATCTGGAACTGTTATCAAAAAAATAAATACAATTTGTTCTGCAACTACATCATTGGGGGATACTCCAAATGAATTTTGAAGATCTTGTTTTCCAAACATCAAACAACCTAATTGTCACCTCTGAAGACACTAAAATAGGGGATGCATGATAATTGATATTGCTATATATTTATAAGATGAGGCAAAAGGATTATATATACAGATTTACCTGAAGACATATCAGTGTTCAGAATCAATAATGTATATCCTAACTATCGACATCAACATAAAACAAATTATTCTTTTTCTGATAAGAAAACTCACCCGCAATGATAGACCTTTCTACTCCAAGCTCATCAACAGTCCTAAGTAAAGAAAAATGATGCTCAATCAGAAAAAATAAAATGTATTACTTGCAAATTTCCACTATCATGATCCAAATAAGAAAGGGGAAAAATATTGTGAGAGATGCTACTTACTTGAGATGCAATTCTTTCACGAAGGTCAACTCTTNTTGCAACAGCTGGATAAGTTGCTTCCAAAATTTCAGCATTTGTGAATTCATCTGTTGTAATAAAACCGAGATCAAAGGCGTCGTACTGCAGCAAGACACAATGATATAATGAGCATCATCCACAAAAATGAGTATGGTTTTGAAAGAAATTTGGCCGGTAAGAAATGTGACCGAAGTACAGCAGTATTACACATAATCTAAGGTATGCAAAGTCTTTCAAAGCCTTAACAAATTTGAGATAAGACTTCTGTTTACACATACTTATGCAGGACTAGGTTTGAGATAAGACTTTTGTTTCTGCTTCCTCAACCATTTTCACAAAACAACTCCAAACTTGTTCAATTCCATCCTTTTTCTTTCATAGTGTACCAAAAGTTATAAAAGAAGAACCAAGGGTTTCATTTATGTTGACAGCTCAAGGCCCAAGTGCAGCATTTTTAGGTGTAATGTACTCTGAACAATTAAAGTGTGACCAAATCAATTTTAAGAACCAAAAGAGTTTAGGCCTGAAATATGAGCAATTTTTTTTTAAAAAAGCCATATGGCTGGACTCAATAACAGCTCTAGAACTTAGTAATCATGGGAATCCGGAGGGCAAAGAAAGAAATTATTATAATGCAGGATCAACTCAACAGAAATTTTAAGTATGCACAACATGTCAATCACAAAACCATGTGATATAAAAATGATGTGATTCAGTACTCATATCTCAGTTTATCTATGATCTTCTATTTTAGTCAACTTATAATTGATCAACTTTTAAGCAAACATTATAACCCTAGACTTATATGCTTTCTGAGCTTGAAATTCAAGGCTCCTGCTGTGTAATATGCATATTCTTCCTATAAATTATCATCCTTTCTTTTACATTTGACAATCAATCATGTTCAGTTTGGAAATTTGATGAGCAAAGATGGGACTTCAATATTTAAAATCACTAGACATGTTTGATATAGCTCAACTGTATATGACCTCGCAGTTGGGAGGATGGCAACAGTCTTTCTTTAATGCAGGATTTTTGTTAGTTTATTAGTTCCTAGAAAAATATAAACTTCCAACACCAACTTTAGACAACTGATGAAGAAATCATACTTGGCGGGCTTTGACATCCATTTTATTCAAATATGCTGCAAAAATTCTGGTGGACATGCACTCCCCAAATGAGACCAAGAAGTCCTTTGTGCGTAGTGTCAATTCTTTCATCATAGCAATTCCCTTAAGAAGTTGCTCCAATTTCTCTAGGTGTGCTGCAAAAACATTTTCCACAAGCACAAAAAATGATTACAAAAACACGCATAATAAGTATCATCTGAACACTATGATGACAAAGAACAGAATTTAGGGTCCACAAGGCAATTCCAGGAACATCAAAAGATGAAAATTGGAAATGAAGAGAAAATTAATCTAAATTACAGTAGGATGCCAATATAAAACTTGATAAAAGGACCATTGCATTGTACTTGTGTAAGCTCTACTGATCAAAACCTTCAATGATAAAGGGGCACACAAGGCCGGTATTTATTTATATATTTTTTGGAGGGGGAGGGGAGAAGGGAGTTTGAACTCTTGACCTTAAGAAGACAAAGTCTTCATAAGGCAAGGAGTACCAACTTCTTAAGGTCAAGGTCCAGTATATCTCGGTTGCTTGCAGGAAAGTGGCTTCTCGACACTAAAAGTTAGAACCGATTAACATCTTTTGAAGTCATCTGGAACTGTTATCAAAAAAATGAATACAATTTGTTCTGCAACTACATCATTGGGGGATACTCCAAATGAATTTTGAAGATCTTGTTTTCCAAACATCAAACAACCTAATTGTCACCTCTGAAGACACTAAAATAGGGGATGCATGATAATTGATATTGCTATATATTTATAAGATGAGGCAAAAGGATTATATATACAGATTTACCTGAAGACATATCAGTGTTCAGAATCAATAATGTATATCCTAACTATCGACATCAACATAAAACAAATTATTCTTTTTCTGATAAGAAAACTCACCCGCAATGATAGACCTTTCTACTCCAAGCTCATCAACAGTCCTAAGTAAAGAAAAATGATGCTCAATCAGAAAAAATAAAATGTATTACTTGCAAATTTCCACTATCATGATCCAAATAAGAAAGGGGAAAAATATTGTGAGAGATGCTACTTACTTGAGATGCAATTCTTTCACGAAGGTCAACTCTTCAATATCAGAGGCATTTGAAACACCACAACTGACAGCCTTTTCTCCAGCCTAATCGACAAGCCAGAAATTTCACTCCAAATCTTCCTGAAATTAACATAGAAAGATATGCCAAAAAAAGTCGAAGTTACAAATACCAGTAAAAGCTTGTTCGTTGTCTTCCCCATAGCAGAGAGAACAATCACTGGCCTCTCTTCTGGAAAGCTGAGAATGAGGTCAGCTACTTCTCTCATCCTTTCAGCCGAGGCCACCGATGATCCACCAAACTTCATCACACATGTCAACTCATTAGCTAGTCCTTGTGAACCTTGATTCTCGGTGTCACTCCGCTCAAGGACATCAATATTTCCTTGCCCAGCACTAACTCTCAGAACTCTTCCCCTATATGAAGAACCCTTCAGTATTGTACAGTGTCCAGAAACAGAAGCCACGGACACTGCAACATCAAGCCTGGGCTGCGACAACAAAGATTGGTAGTACGAAGCTCTCCTTGACAAAGAAGTGTAGGGAGTTTTAAATCCGTATAAATGCGTAGCGGTAGCCATAAAAAAATCAGCTAAAGAATTTCAATAAGTCAGCAAGACCTAATGGATCTGCCGAGAAACAAAGTATTTCGACAAATTAAGCAAGTCAAGGTTTCCCAAAAAGCAGAGGAGAGAGAGAGAAAGAGAGCTAAATGCTCTCACTTCTATTACAAATGTTGAAAGATCAAATCAGATCAGATGGCAACGACAAAACGCCCGTTGGATAGACGACCTGCACAATCCATGATTTGTTAGAATCAATTCTAAAGGAACGGTAAGGAAAACTATAGAAAACTATATGGGAACGCCACATGTAGACACTGAAAGGAACATTTAGCTTAAGGAAAACAGGACAAAGGCTTCAATTAGGCTCAGATTTGCTTTCTTGGAGACCCATAACGACTACTTTTTATTTTAATTTTGGGGCGTCAACCAATAAGCTCTTGAAATTCCAATGTTATTCATACATGAAGAAACCAGACTAACATAAAGACAGAATAAAAAGACCAAGAGAGAAGAAGAATTACAGACAAAGAGAGATTCTTTACGCACCTGCTGTGTACGAAGCAATGTTGGGTTGATTCTTCGAGGCAGAGAAGGTCTAGGGTTTTTTGTATCTCTCGATTCCTTCCTTCAGAGAATGGGAGAAATGTCAGGCTTGAAGGAATGCGAGAAGGAAATGTGAGTTAAACGGAGCTCAGCCAGGCCGCCATACCTCTTTATATAGTGCTCCAACGGCCAAAGTTTGGAGTTTTTTCTTTCTTCAGTTATTTTTGGGTTAATTATTTTTGGGTTAATTGCGCCGTAAGTTCTTAAAATATAAAGTTTGTCGCATTTTGATTTTTAATATTTTAATTGTATTATTTTAAATTTTAAAATATTGAATATATTTTTATATGATCTCTCAAGCAGATAGTGTTTAGATTGTTAATAATTTTTATCATAAATTTATCACGTTATACTAAAATATAAACAAAAAATAATTTGAATAATTCTTAATCAAATTTTTACTCAAATTTTAATTAAATAGTTTTCTAAATTTTACAATTTTGATCATGAACTATTCAAATTTTAGTCAAAAGTTACTTATATTACACATTTTTTTTATCAAGAGCAACCTAAATTTTATTTAAGAACTATCAAAATTATTTATTGTCCATATTTAAGTATTACGTTACAAGTTTATAATAAAAAATTATTAGTAATATGGACATTGTCCGCTTAAAAGACCATATAGAAACATATTCAATACTTTAAGGATAAAAAAGATGCAATTGAAATATTGAGGACTAAAATGAGACAAAATTTATACTTTGGAGACCTCCAGTACAATTAATCTTTTTTTTTTCCTCATAATTGCAACGGACGGTGACAATTAAATCGTACTATGCAGTTTCATCTGTCGTTGGTGGCATAGATAAAATGGCGTTTGTACGAACGGTGTAAATGTTGGGTTTCACAGGGACAGGTACATCAGTTTAACCATCTGATAAAAAAATTATTATTTAGATATAAATATTAATTTAATTCGTTAATTTTATCGATTATAATTATTAAATAAATAGTAAATCATGTTATAAAAAAATAAGTACTAAATATCAATAAATATTGAGACTCATAAATAAATTAATAATAATATTAATTAAGTCAATATTTAAATACAAATAACATTATTTTTCTAAAAAAAATTAAATAGACAAAGTACACCTAGGGGCTGTCTGTTTGAGGTATAAAAGTGGTATAAGGAAAATAGTATGTGAGATTTATTTTAAACCTTATTTGTTTGGCATTTTTTAGTAGGTACTAATGCCTTCTACACAGTACTATTCAATACCACCAACCCGATGATATAATATTCTTGGTATAAATGAATAAAGGTATAATAAACTAAAAAAATTGAAATGCCTTCACGTACAATGCCTATATAAAAGTCTAGTTACAATTTTTGACTTTTTTAAGTTAAAATTATTTTTTTATATTGATTAGTCGCAATTGTTGACTTTTTTAAGTATGTATTACACAGATAATGTTTATAACAAACAAACAAGGAGAATGATAAGATTATAGTTTAAAATCAGATAAAATATATTATTGAATCGAAGTAGAATGAATATAAAATTTTATACCACCTAAATCTTATATTCGAAACAAACGGCCCTAATATTTAAACCCCTTAAACAACAGTGTCCTCCAGAAACAAAACGGTGGATTTTAACCCTACGGTGGTTTTTGAATAATGGGTTTGAATAGAAGATGAATTTTATGTCCAACTCCATCTAAACCCAACCTCTCACCATAGGTTAGGGAAAGTATGTGATATACGGACCTATATTTTGTCGTGATCGCCAATTTTAACCATTTGTGGGTCCCATTGGCATATTTATACACGTTTTTATCGTTATACTCCCCATACATATCCACCCCATGACCATGGGTTTGAGTTTTGCTCCTTTCAACCACCCACTTTCTGCATGATTTTAGACAGAGAGAACATGGTTTCAAAAATTGGTAGTCAAGGATTAACAAACAAGGTTCAATTGCAAATAACTTTAATCTAGTGAGGACCATCTCAGCAAAAATGGTTGATTTCCTCCGTAAAAACCACTTCCCATAGCTTCTCAAAGAACTTCCTTCACACAATACAAAGAGCCTCTGCGAGAGAGAGAGAGAGAGATCTGGCCTTCGCGCTACCATTGGAGAGGTGTGAGCGGCTGTGAAGAAGAAAGAGAAAGAGACGTCAGGGCTTTTAAGAGCACAAGGGCAAAAATGTAAAATAACCCTTGTAACCACGCCCCAGCTAGGTTTAAATTAACCCATGTATAAGGGGACGAGAGCGCTGTTCATTCCGGGTCTGGGATAAACTCGGATCAAATATCCATCTTGATTTTTTAATTCCCAAACATGGGATATATAGGACCTACAGAATTTTTAGCCAATTCATATGAGGTTAGCCAATTCATAATGGTAATAATTGTTTTTTTTTAGAGAGATTGAGACTATCCAGAGGGATATTTAGGAATACATATTTCTAAGATTAAAATATAATATATGAGTAAAAAAGATAATAAGATTACACATTAGATTGTGAAACATAAAAGCAAGAATATACTTTTTTCTGGTTGGATATGTTCGCCGAGGGAGTAGAATAATTTTGGCTCGTATATTACTGTAAAATATTTTCTTTTGATCTGTATTTTTCTGCTAAAGTAGTCTGTAATTTAATTGAACCCCGTAAACTTCATTTTGTGGATTGACAGGCAAGATGGCTTCTGCCGTGAATTGAAAGTCATTTGCTGTCGTGCTTATTTGGTCAGCATTCTTCAACTTTGTGCGTTGAACCAGCTAAAGTCGGGGATAAAGAGGGTGCGCACACACCGGCTATATATTATATATATATATTTTGACCAAATGATTCTATTCGCGGACATTTAATTCTGAGCAATCTTAATTTAATATAATTTATTAAATTAATTATTTTATAATTATTAAATTGATGATAACTGAGATTTAATTATTAAAATAATAAATTAAATATTCAGTAATATTATTATTTAATTTTAGGATAGGGGTCCACATTAGGGAGACAGATGGTATCAGCCATCTTTGACATGGTCTGACGAGAGGGCCCACCAAAATAGAGAGCGGCACTTGTGCATCAGGAAAGGCCAACCGACTCTGTTTGGGTCAGTATCAAATACAAATGTGTGGGCTATTCCTACCCGCAACCTTCATTTTCATCTCATCTCTTTTATTTTCACCATATTAGTAACTAAAGTCATTTCATACTATATACACCACTTTTAATAAAAAAATTCACTTTATATTTTGTAATAATTAAAATTTCAATCTCTATCTCATCTCATGCACTCACAAAAATACTTTTTCAAGATAAATTTTTTCAGTGAAATATAAGTTAGTATTATTTGTCAATTTAATTCTATGTTTGGTTTCATGTATATGAATTTTTATTATTTTTAATATGTTTTGATATCTCTGTCAAATTCAATAATTTTTTTATTTAGAATTTATATGTGTGTATATATATGTATACTTTTACATTATTTGTTCTTATCTTATTAAAATTTTACATCTATACTAGTTATTTTTCTTCTTATTCGATTTTGTCTCTGTACTTGAAGCTTGTTTTTTTTTTTCCATATTCAATTTTACGTCTTTTTTTTACTTGTTTCTTTAATTTTTGCTCTCTTTTTTTTTCCTTCTTGTTTTGGTTTACTTATTTATTTCTTTTTTTTTTTTTATTTCATTATTTTCTTTTTTTGTTTCAGTGTGCTTCTGTCTTTTTTTTTTTTTTTTCTTTTTTCTTGCTTCGTTCTTTCCCTTTTTTCTTGTCTTGGCATATATGTTTTCGTTTACTTATTTTGTTTTTCGGTTTTTTTTTCTTGTCTCGTAAATATATTTATGCATTCAAGTTAATTATCTTTTTTTATTATTTTTTTTTCTTAATGAGTCGAAAATTCAATTGTTACTTTTTTTTTCTCAATTAAATCCATATCCGTGAGTCCTTAAAATTTAATATCCAATCAATTTTCTGAGAAAATATAAGTCCAAAATCTGCTAATTCTTCGGCTATGTATACAAAAACTAGTTTCAATAATAATAAGATAATGGGTTAATTGCGGTTGTGATCCCTAAAGTATTCTTTTTGTCTAATTTTGGTCCCCAACCTTCTAATTGCATCAAGTTGGTCCCTATGTATTACATATACACTTAACTAGTCCCCGCCGTTAACTTCGGCCACAAAATTGACGGTTCATAGTCATGTGTCATCCGCATGACATAAGTGAAGGGCTTGTATGACATTTAACATCCATCCCTTTCCATTCCTGCCAACTGGGTTATAAGTTATATCACCCCATTGCCACATTTAGCATACATATCAACTAATGTGGTAATAATATATATCTGAGATTCAAAACCCAACTTTATCAAATAGCCATGCAACTACTTTCCCTCTACAGTAGCACCAACATCACTACAAGCATTGAACAGCCCAACAAGAGTGAATTCACTAGGCCTCATCCCAGAAAAATGCATATCCGAGAACATTTTCAATGCCTTCTCACCATCGCTACTTTNTCCCAGAAAAATGCATATCCGAGAACATTTTCAATGCCTTCTCACCATCGCTACAAAGTGCATACCCAGTGATCATCACAGACCACGTAATAGAGTTCTTCTCACTCAAAAGCTCAAACATTTGCAGCGCGTAAGCTAAGCTTCCACACTTTGCATACAAGGTAACGACTGCATTTCCAACTGATAACAACCCATTTTTCACAGCAAGACAATGAATTTGTTTGCCAATATCAATAAATTCTGGCAAGGTAACAGCACTAAGAACACTAGTTACCATAAACTCATTCACATCTTCCTTTTCCAACGACGTCATCATCCTAAAAACCTCCAAAGCATAACCAGCAAACCGATGCATAGCATACCCAGAAATCATCGTAGCCCACGAAATCGAATTTCTCTCGGGCATTCTATCAAACAATTTACACACATCACAAATAAGGCCACATTTGCAGTACGTGTTTAACAAAGAACTATTCACAAATACATCGGAACAACAAGTTGTTTTGATGGCAAGTGGATGAGCTTGCTGGCCACAAAACGGGTCCATAAAAATCGATGCCGCAGAAAAAAATCTGGGGAAAGTATGGGCATCGGGAAAAGTATTCTCTTTCCGCATAAGCTTGAACAGTTTCATGACTAAGGATGAAGATTTGGGAGTCCCCAGCTGAGAGTAGCCATTGATGAGGTCGTTCCATGAGACTATGTCTTTAACTTCGATTTCTTCAAATACAAGGTGGGCTTCGGTTAAGTGGTGGGACTTGGCGTAGAAGTTGACGAGGCTATTGGAGATGTATATGCAAGAAGAAGTGCCGATCTTGATGATTTGGGCGTGGAGTGACTTGCCATTTGGGAGTTTTTTCTGGTGGGTGTATTGGAGGAGTTTGGCAAAGAAGGAATGAGTGGCTAGTGTCATCGACGAGTCCTTAGTTTCGGAGTTCATGAACGAGTCACAACCAAGAACTTCCCAAAGTTCAAACCTTGCAAGTAGAGGGAAGGAAACACAAGAATTTAGGGGAATGTTTCCTATTCTCTGTAACCTACAATGGCTCATAGACAATTGGTGGGAATGTTTCCCTAAGGAAAGGGATGGAGGGTAAATGTCATATAAGTCCTTCGCCTAGGTCATGCAGATGACACATGACTATAAACCATCAAATTTGTGGATGGCGTCAACGGCAAGGACTAAATAAGTGTATATCTAATACATGAGAGATCAACTTAATGCAATTAAAAGATTAGGGATTAAAATGAGACAAAAAGAATATTTTGGGGATCACAACTNGTTTCCCTAAGGAAAGGGATGGAGGGTAAATGTCATATAAGTCCTTCGCCTAGGTCATGCAGATGACACATGACTATAAACCATCAAATTTGTGGATGGCGTCAACGGCAAGGACTAGATAAGTGTATATGTAATATATGAGAGATCAACTTAATGCAATTAAAAGATTAGGGTTTAAAATGAGACAAAAAGTATATTTTGGGGATCACAACCNAACGGCAAGGACTAAATAAGTGTATATCTAATACATGAGAGATCAACTTAATGCAATTAAAAGATTAGGGATTAAAATGAGACAAAAAGAATATTTTGGGGATCACAACTGCAATTAATCCTAAGATAATTGAAAAAATAAAACATTTCCTAATTCATCTATTTGATTAGATTGATCAAGAATACAATAAATGATGGATGAAATGAAAGTGGGATGAAATTAGTTTTAAATGAAACTATTCTAAATAATAAAGTAACATACAATTCAAATCTCAAAAGATAAATAAAATAACTTTTATTATTTGCGGTTGAGATCATTTTAAATTTTACTTTAAAGTAAATTTAATGACTAATATTAATACCCTAAATTTAATAGGAAAAATAGACCCCTAAGAATATGTTTTGAGTAACTTTTTAAAAGTACTTTTAAAAATTATTTCTCATTAATATATTTTTTTTAAAAATAGTGTTTGAAACCACTCCACCACCACCGCCACTGTCGTCGCCACTGCCGCCACCACCACCACCATTGCCGCCGCCACCACCACCATCACCGTCGTCGCCACCGTTGCCACCATCACCACCACCATCACTGCCACCACAATCATTGTCACCTACCACAACCTTCACCGTCTCTTACCATCACTACTGTCGCCCACCACCTCTTACCTCTACTACANTTAAATTTTACTTTAAAGTAAATTTAATGACTAATATTAATACCCTAAATTTAATAGAAAAAATAGACCCCTAAGAATGTGTTTTGAGTAACTTTTTAAAAGTACTTTTAAAAATTATTTCTCATTAATATATTTTTTTTAAAAATAGTGTTTAAAACCATTCCACCACCACCGCCACTGTCGTCGCCACTAACGCCACCACCACCACCATTGCCGCCGCCACCACCACCATCACCGTCATCGCCACCACCACCACCACCATCGCTGCCACCACAATCATTGTCACCTACCACAACCATCACCGTCTCCTACCATCACTACTGTCGCCCACCACCTCTTGCCTCTACTACAAATCGATGTTTAAATTCATTTATTTCTTCTCTATGTTTGTGATTTAATTTTGGATATGAATACAAATATATTTATTGTTTACCATTTTTTATTACTTTGTGTCTTCTGGCACAGACAATAACTAATAAATACATAATAGCTTATGACCTAACCCAAAATATAAGTCTTAAAAAAGCATAACGAAAGAACAAGAATCTGTGTAACAACCCCTATAGACAGGATAAAACTTTATGAAGTTGTTTTAAGTAATTAAAATATGATTCCGCCACATATCATAAATTCATCTTCACCTCGGATCCCAAACTTGCTCTTTCAAACAAGAAGAACAGGAAATACACTAGATAGCAGATCTGATCGCCAAGCAACCAAGCAGAGGCCTGATGTCACCATGTTGGGTTGCAAACTTGCAAACCCATCCAGCAATATTATGGGGATACTCAACAGAGAGGCTAGAGAAAGAGTGGGCTAGATAAAACGTCAATGTTTCTCGCCTTTTGAGGCACTGTTAAAAAACCTAACAAATACCAATCTTAAAAAAAAAAAAGGTTCTATTGAGATGCTGAAAGTAGTTGACAACACTGCTTCATGAACTTCCAATCAAGTCATGATTGAAAAGTAAAAACCGCTATAGAATTTAAACTACATGCCTCCCTGAACATTTGCTGTCCTACTTGAAATTGTCCTGGCTGGGAGCACCATTTACGGAAGAAATGACAAGGCTCCTTTTACAAAGTATGCGGCAAGATACTTCATCTCCTCCCTTAATGGTGGTGTAGGAGTGTGAATTAGATCACACTATGGAACCCAGCCGAGTCCAGAAGTACTGCTTTGATCTGCTCAGGCAGGACATCCTGGCCTTCCCTACATTGCTGATAAACACCAATCATCAATATCTAGATTACTATCCCCAAGAAAAGATACTAAAACCAAGCAAGCACCCATATGGAGATAAGGTTGCCACATACGGGAAGTCATATAGGGGCTATTTGGACACAACAGTATCATTGGAATATTCCTTTCTGTTCTACAAGCCATTTCAATGAGTTGCAGTCTCTCACTACAACATTGGAAATGAATTCACTTTGCAGCATGCGTGGTACATGGAATTTCAATGCCTAATGTTTCACAACCCCGTTTGAAATACTTCCAATTTACATGGTTTCAAATCTGAAGAGATAGTCATTCAAATTCTCCACTAGGTCCCACGACTAATCCTTGTATCAGTTATTGATAAAATTATTCAAAACCCTATGAGAAAAGAGTGAGTCACCTTCTATGCCGCTTCATTTTAGTGGCAAGTACAGTTCATTGTGCTTAGCCAAATTGAAGCCTAGAAACCCTAAATTTGGACTAGAGGTTAACAGGCGCATATCTTAGCACTAGATGTTATGTTTATATGCATGGGTTTTGTTTTTGTCGCTTAACACTAGGCTAGTGTTTATCACTATATACATTCACCCTTATAGGGTTACGTTAGGAGTAGGGTCCACTATAGCTAGGGAAGGTAAAATTGTGAGATTATCTGGAATTTTGGATGCTCTAAAATACCTCTTACCAAGCCAAGACAATTAAAGTAAAAAGNGGGTTACGTTAGGAGTAGGGTCCACTATAGCTAGGGAAGGTAAAATTGTGAGATTATTTGGAATTTTGGATGCTCTAAAATACCTCTTACCAAGCCAAGACAATTAAAGTAAAAAANTTGACAACACTGCTTCATGAACTTCCAATCAAGTCATGATTGAAAAGTAAAAACCGCCATAGAATTTAAACTACATGCCTCCCTGAACATTTGCTGTCCTACTTGAAATTGTCCTGGCTGGGAGCACCATTTACGGAAGAAATGACAAGGCTCCTTTTACAAAGTATGCGGCAAGATACTTCATCTCCTCCCTTAATGGTGGTGTAGGAGTGTGAATTAGATCACACTATGGAACCCAGCCGAGTCCAGAAGTACTGCTTTGATCTGCTCAGGCAGGACATCCTGGCCTTCCCTACATTGCTGATAAACACCAATCATCAATATCTAGATTACTATCCCCAAGAAAAGATACTAAAACCAAGCAAGCACCCATATGGAGATAAGGTTGCCACATACGGGAAGTCATATAGGGGCTATTTGGACACAACAGTATCATTGGAATATTCCTTTCTGTTCTACAAGCCATTTCAATGAGTTGCAGTCTCTCACTACAACATTGGAAATGAATTCACTTTGCAGCATGCGTGGTACATGGAATTTCAATGCCTAATGTTTCACAACCCCGTTTGAAATACTTCCAATTTACATGGTTTCAAATCTGAAGAGATAGTCATTCAAATTCTCCACTAGGTCCCACGACTAATCCTTGTATCAGTTATTGATAAAATTATTCAAAACCCTATGAGAAAAGAGTGAGTCACCTTCTATGCCGCTTCATTTTAGTGGCAAGTACAGTTCATTGTGCTTAGCCAAATTGAAGCCTAGAAACCCTAAATTTGGACTAGAGGTTAACAGGCGCATATCTTAGCACTAGATGTTATGTTTATATGCATGGGTTTTGTTTTTGTCGCTTAACACTAGGCTAGTGTTTATCACTATATACATTCACCCTTATAGGGTTACGTTAGGAGTAGGGTCCACTATAGCTAGGGAAGGTAAAATTGTGAGATTATCTGGAATTTTGGATGCTCTAAAATACCTCTTACCAAGCCAAGACAATTAAAGTAAAAAGTAAAAAATAAAAAAATTTGACCCCATTGGAAGTTGGAACAGTCCAATTCTTTAATTGGCGTCATAATTTTGCCTGACTACTTTCCAAAGAAAGGGGATCAGAAAGGATTAGCCATAGGCGTTTGGTCCAGTGACGAGAATGGATTAGTGAATTAAGGAAACTCCTTATGGTAAATGTCTGAAAAAATTCACGTTCTCAGCTTCAAGACCACACTTAAAATATTTCAGTGTGTCAGATGAGATTTCTAAAAATATTACTGATCTTCTACCTATTTTCTTAACAGTCAGGATATGGTTTCTATGGAAGCATATTGAACTTGAAGGACGAATCAGGAAATAGGAACCTTACCTCAGCTCGGAATACATCCAAAGCAAAGCCATTGAAACAGCTTATAACAGCTTGCTGAATGTCAAGCCCAAGGCTGTCCAGGGCTCTCATAGTGGAGAGCAAGAGACCAGGTCTGCGGGCACAAAACATGTGGATGTTGACAGCCCTCCCTTCTCTTACTCTTACTTCCACCTACAAAAGGCAGAAAATCAGAAATTGTGATTCAAAAGCAAGAAGGGAAGAAGCGAGGGGGGGGGGGGACTTCCTTTAACAGATAAGTCAATTCTAGAATGCAATTACAAGTCGAAAAACCAACAATTCGCTACAGAACATGTATGCAAGGAGAGGTAGTCCAACGGATCAAAAACCATGGGCTCTATCTCCAAGGCGCTGAGCTTGATAATGGATCATATCACCAAGTTCATAAATGGAAGTATCCAATTCAAACAGGGACCATTACTGGCCATTCCAAGTCGATCAGCTGGGT